AGCAGGCATGGTCAGAGACCAGCAGGCACGGTCAGAGACCAGCAGGCACGGTCAGAGACCAGCAGGCACGGTCAGAGACCAGCAGGCACGGTCAGAGACCAGCAGGCAGAGTCAGAGATCAGCAGGAGCAGCAGGGATGGTCAGCAGAGACTGGACGTCAGCCATGGCAGCCATGAGACGGTCAGCCACATGGCTGTTGCTGCGATGGCTTAAGGCAGCGCGGTAGGCTGACATGGCGGCAGCCTTGTCTACGCCAGGCCAAGCCACGGCAAACCTGGCGAAAATAAACAAATTCGTCAAAACTTATCATAAAAATAACAATTATTAGTGTAAAAAATAACCATAAATGTATGTGAACAAGCGTATGGTGAGTAAAATAATCGGGGGCATTTTATAATAAATTTTTGAAATAAATCTTCTCATATACATTCATATTATGACTGAATAGGGCATCATACTTGAATAGTCCTTTCATCCAGCTATTTATCTATTTAAATATCAGATATAAAAACTGATTATATCTTAAATAAAAATAAATAGGTAATCACAAATAAAAAGTAATTTTATCGGCAATGAAAAAGTTATTCACAGTTCTGTAGGATATAAGGTTATCGAAATAAAAATGAAAAGTAATGAGATAAAAAAGTGGAAGAGAAAAGCAACGCACGCGTCAGGAGCGCGAGAGCTGAGCTGACACAGTCTCTGCAGTGACGCCTGCAGCGCTGACTCCAGCTCCAGTAATGCTCCAATTGCTGCTCCACTTGATACGCCACTCGCTGCTCCACTTGATACGCCACTCGCTGCTCCACTTGATACTCCACTCGCTGCTCCACTTGATACGCCACTCGTTACTCCACTTGATATGCCACTCGTTACTCCACTTGATACGCCACTCGTTACTCCTCCACTTTCCGCTCCCCTTGCTACTCCATCGCTCGTTACTCTCCCTTCTTTAGCATGTCTTTTCACTTCACTTCCCACTCCCGTCTTCTTCACTTCACTTTTCGTCGTGTTGGCACACGCGTTCTTCTTTCTGTTATCTTTCTTTTGACGTTTGTTGTCTCCATTTTTTTGTCCAGCTTCACTGTTTACTTTTTCATTTTTCCCGTTTTTCGAATCTTTTATTTCTTTTCTCTTCGTACCATTCGACGAACTGCTATTAACATCACAGCGAATTTGTTCAGTGTTGTCGACTGCAGAATTGATGTCATCACCACGTTTTCCATCATTATTGTTATCATTTATTATATCATCATTATTACGTTCACTGCATTGTAGATCGTCTTTAGAAATACAACTATCACCCATGAGATGAGTCTTATCAGTTGTCTTGCTGTTGTTTTCGCCACAGTCTTTGTTTTTCTTGAATGAATTTATCGTTCCAGAGTCCGGAACTTGGGTGGCATTTGTCGCAGCTGAAAAACAGATAAACAATTGATGCCGAAATTCTATTATTGGCCCTCATAACTAGTTAAATTTTATTGGTCATTATAGGTGCTAAAATGGTTTTGTCCTTAGGTATCACTAAACTCTCTAGGTGTCACTGAAATTCTTAGTTATTTAAGTAATTCGTCTCTAAGTTCTCTATTATCAAATTTATGGATGGTGTATGTAATTTTGGCCAAGATAACAATTGTATTCATAGTTTTGGAAATTCTAAGCCGGATCCCTTGTGAATCAAGTCACGAAAAGTACAAGAATCGGTAACAGGCCATGGGCCTATTTCTTCAGTGCCGACACTTCTATTATATAAGGAACAAATTTTTTATCTATTATATTTATTTTATTAAATTACAAAAATTTAATTTACGCTTAAGTAATTCGTTTCTAGATGAAGTTCTCTACAATCAAATTTATGAATGGCGTATGTAAATTTAACCAAGATAATAATTATATTCATAGGGAACAAATTTTCCACTACCATTGACGGGAACCATCAATCCGAAGTCGGCGAGACAGAGCTCGACGCGACGTGCGTCCTCCATGACGAGCGGGACGTCACTGACGGCGTTGCTGGCGTAGGAGGCGACCACGTAGCAGGTCTGTACCGACGTCGTCACGCACGCACGAACGTACGCGCCTAACTGACCTGAGAAAAACAAATACAATTAAAAACATGAAATATTGCTTGCAAACAATGCGACAAAATATCACTATACTATACTATATACATGAAAAAATGAATAATGTCAATTTTTATTAAATAGAACTTTGTACAACGTAGAAAAAATATAACTCAGTACTCACTGCAGTGAGTGACAGAGAGCTCATTTTCTCGTCGACGAAAACGCGAAGTCACGGACGGACAGACAGACGGACGGACCGACGGAACGTCAGACAGACCGACGGAACGTCAGACAGACCGACGGAACGTCAGACGGACCGACGGAACGTCAGACGGACCGACGGAATGACCGACGGAACGTCAGACAGACCGACGGAACGTCAGACGGGCCGACGGACCGTCAGACGGACCGACGGAACGTCAGACGGACCGTCAGACGGACATGGCGAGCACAATAGCGCCTTTCTTCCATAAATGAGAAAATGCGCTAGCAATAATAAAATATTCATAATAATAATAACAAAATAATAAAGCATACATAATAACAATAATAAAATAATAAAGGAGTGCAGTGCAGTGGTCACCAGCAGGCAGAGCGAGGAGATGGTTGACGCAGGCTGCGGTGCAGTGCAGAGCGCTGCTGTAGTGAAGACTGCGCCACAGCAGCCACTGCAGCCTCTGCACCGCACACATCCACTCCGTGGCTCCACATGCCTCGTATCTGCACACATGTATACACTCTACACAATACACACATGTATTAACTCTACACGATACACTGATGTATACACTCTACACAATACACTGATATATACACTCTACACAATCATGTATACATACACTCTACACTATCGTCAGAAAATTCATAAGTTGTAATTCAAAGTATGGCAGAAAACGGAATACCTAATAAACTTCTCCGTAAAATATTTAATAACTCTATATTTTTAATATATGAGTAAGGGAAGTGCGTAAATTTAAATATAAATTATTCGTATATAACAAAACGCCTATGTATTGACACAAACATAAATGTAAACAAAACTAATTGAAAAACTCAATGTATCAACACAAATTTATAGATTTCAATTAAACTAATTAAAAATACTTAATGTATCAACACAAGCTTATACATTTTAATTAAATTAATTAAAAAAACTTGACGTATCGACACAAACTCATAGATTTCAATTAAATTAATTAAAAAACTTAATGTACAATCACAAATTTATAGGTTTCAATTGAACTGATTAAAAAACACTTAATGTATCAACACAAACTTATAGATTTCAATTAAACTAATTAAAAAAACTTAATGTATCGACACAAACTTATAGATTTCAATTTAACTAATTAACACGTTAAGTGCGGGACAACCCACGGGTGGGTGGCAGGGTCTTTTTTCCGGATAAATTCCGCGATTTAGTTTTTTTTCGATTGCGTTTGTCGACAAAAATTTATGATGGCAGTACTGCCTCATTAAAATATAAAATGTACGAAAAAAGGAAAATTTAATTTTTGCACCTGAACCTACAAATTTACTAGTATATATTGAATTATAGGCCTTATTAGCAGCGGACTTGGCCGTTTTTAGGCTAGCTGCCAGCGCTGTGGGTCGTTGCCGCACTTAACGTGTTAAAAAAATTTAATGCTTCAAAACACAAACTTATAGATTTCAATTAAACTAATTGAAAAAATATACTGTATCGACACAAACTTATAGATTTCAATTAAACTAATTAAAAAATGAAACTCACGCAGTGGCAGAGGGCAAGAGGGCAATGAATGTGAGGGCACAGCTCGTGTACAGAGGAAGGCACGGTACAGAGCACGACTGCGTCAGCAGATCGTGCGTTACATTCACGCATTCGTGTACCAACGATACCATCTTGTTGACGTTACTAGCGTTACTGGCGGTGGTGTTACTGGCGGTGGTGTTACTGGCGGTGGTGTTACTGGTGTTGACGGTACTGGCTCTGCCACGAACTTCGTCAGTAGAAACATCGCTTTCGTCTTCTTCAACGTCGCCACCAGCTTTTCCATCGTCAGTCAGCTGTCAAAAAATAAGTGCACTTTACTTCTGGTGTAAATCATTGAGGTATGAGTGAGAACATCTAGGTATGGATAAAAATAACAACAAACAATTTGTTATGCAATATTTTTGCTAATGCAGGGTTCAGGAAAGCAGGTATAGGTATCGTTTGGATACTAAAAAAAACCTTCAAGTGGCTCTATTTATCCTACCCCTATGGATATGAATATGAACAAATTTGTCATTTGTTAACATTTATATTAATGTTACTTTTATGTCCAAGAATTCTAATAAAACAAGCATGCAGCGCTACTTTTATGCACGCATATAGCAAAATATAACTCAGTACTCACTGCAGTGAGTGACAGAGCGCATTTTCTCGTCGATGAAAACGTTAAGTCACGGACGGACGGACGGACGGACATTGCGAGCAAAATAGTATATTTTTTCCATAAATGAGAAAATGCACTAACAACGCAGTCATGCACAACGACGTGACACGCGGGTCTGACCTGACACAGACCGCGGAGAACAAATTTGTCATTTGTATTTATCTATATTAACGTTGGAAACTAGCATGCACAATCATTTATATTAGCACTACTTTTATGCATATAGCAACAACGCAGTCATGCATAACGCTAGGTCTGACCTGACACAGACCGCGGACTCTCAGATTGTCGCTGTGAGCAAGCAGGGTCTTGACGAGGTCTATTTTCAGTTTATCGCAGAGGTTCTGCGCTTGGTCTATGCTCATGCGCCTGGGCTCGTACACGACTTTAGCTTGGTCTTTAGGGTGTGCGTCTGATCCTTCAGACTCAAAATTTCCTTCGTTTTCAGAGAGTAAAGGTTCATGTCTAGCATTAAAATTGCCTCGGAGTTCCGAATCCGTGGCAGGATTCTCGGTAGGTGCTTCATCCGCTTCTATCTTGCGAGATGTGTTTTTCTTTCTCCAGGATCTGGATTTCTTTCCGAAACTTTGGGAGTTGCTTTGGGTTTGTTTGGGGTTATGGTGGCTAAAAGTATTATTTTGGTCGGCACGACAGGGTCGGGTTTTAAAATCGGAGTCTGCTTGGTGCTTACTGCTGCCGTTGCCGGTGAAATTAGCCTTTCCTTGGTAGTTTCGAGGATTGTTTTCACTGAAACCTTCATTGCATGACTGTTGCTTGCTGCACTTGATGTCGTGGTTGATGCGATGTTGCATGTGCATCACGGCGAGTCTGTAGCTCTCAGCAGCCTTGAGGTGGTGGTGGTCTTCATCAGCGCTCACGGCTGATCCGCTCACACGACTTGAAGAATAATACGCGCATAGTCTGAAAAAAGCAAAATCTTCATTCTTCAAAGGAAAAAAAGAAAACGCCATTCTTCAAAAACGAAAATGCCATTCTTCAAAAACGAAAATGCCATTCTTTAAAAAACGAAAATGTCATTTTTCAAAAAACGAAAATATCATTCTTAAAAAAACTAACGAAAAAGTCATTACTGTAAGTACTCACTCAATTACTGTATGGTCAGGAAAAATTGCTGTATGGTCAGGAAAAATTACTGTGTGGTCAGGAAAAATTACTGTATGGTCAGGAAAAATTACTGTATGGTCAGGAAAAATTACTGTGTGGTCAGGAAAAATTACTGTATGGTCAGGAAAAATTACTGTATGGTCAGGAAAAATTACTGTATGGTCAGGAAAAATTACTGTATGGTCAGGAAAAATTACTGTATGGTCAGGAAAAATTACTGTATGGTCAGGAAAAATTACTGTATGGTCAGGAAAAATTACTGTATGGTCAGGAAAAATTACTGTATGGTCAGGAAAAATTACTGTATGGTCAGGAAAAATTACTGTATGGTCAGGAAAAATTACTGTATGGTCAGGAAAAATTACTGTATGGTCAGGAAAAATTACTGTATGGTCAGGAAAAATTACTGTATGGTCAGGAAAAATTACTGTATGGTCAGGAAAAATTACTGTATGGTCAGGAAAAATTACTGTATGGTCAGGAAAAATTACTGTATGGTCAGGAAAAATTACTGTATGGTCAGGAAAAATTACTGTATGGTCAGGAAAAATTACTGTATGGTCAGGAAAAATTACTGTATGGTCAGGAAAAATTACTGTATGGTCAGGAAAAATTACTGTATGGTCAGGAAAAATTACTGTATGGTCAGGAAAANCCACCCTGTACCATGACCCACCCTGTACCATGACCCACCCTGTACCACGACCCACCCTGTACCATGACCCACCCTGTACCATGACCCACCCTGTACCATGACCCACCCTGTACCATGACCCACCCTGTACCATGTTGATCTGGTAGCAGGCCATCTCATTCATGACGTCAGCGAGTCTGGCGACGACGTAAGGGTTACGGCGAACCATGTCGTCCCGTAACTCTAGACGTAACGAGGGTCCCGGCGTTACGAGGGGCGGGACGTGGGCGGCGGGGTGAGTTTGGGCGGCGGAGGAGTGAGTTTCGGCGGCGGCGGGGTGAGTTTGGGCGGCGGGATGGACGGAGATGTCGCCCAGTCTGCCGCCGGCCTCCAGGAAGAGGTAGCACTGGGCGAGCACGAGGCACGCGTACTGACTTGACGCCGACACCGGCATTTTGACTGTATCAAAACATGCTGTGTCATACATGTATATTTGGGGCAATATTCATGAATTTTAACGGAAATTCTAGCCAAATAAAATCTTATCCATCGATAACGGCATGTTGACTGTAACAAAACGCGCTTGGCAATTTCCTTGATTTGGAACTGATTTTCAGGCCCAATACAATCTTATATATACACTCTCATAACAAGAACGATTATGCATTCGCCTGCCATAATGCCAGCGCGTTCCATACTGCAAAACTATTCTTGGAAGATTAAAATACTTCTGAAAATATATCTATAATTTTCATGGCATTAAAAACGGACATTGGACAATTAATTCTATACCTATTCTAATGGTGCAGAACTGGGGTAAAAACTCAATCAGTTCTGTAATCAATATTAATATAGGTCCCGATAGTGTGCCGGGACACAACTTACACTGGTCCCGATAGTGTGCCGGGACACAACTTACACTGGTCCCGATAGTGTGCCGGGACACAACTTACACTGGTCCCGATAGTGTGGCGGGACACAACTTACACTGGTCTCGATAGTGTGCCGGGACGAACTGGTCGACAATTTCCCTGATCTTGTCGTTGGTCTCCTGACAGAGCTTGGAGTCTACATGGTCTTTATCGCTGTCGCTGGCTTCTGCAGCTGCGGCAGTACAATTGTATTCACAGCTGCTGCGTGCAGGGAGATTAGAACTACTGCTGGACTTGTGGTTCTTGTTCTTAGGCTTTTGGCAGTCCGCAGCTGATGGTTCTAGGTCCCAGTTCTGCGTGAGAAATCAATGTCAAAGGCGTTCTATAATCAGGAATAATTTCATTTTCTAACTCGTTGTCAACTGTCTCTAACTTCACAAGGATGCAGGGTATATGAAGAGTAGTTCATTGTAAAATAATACGGTACATCAGAGAATTATTGTGATCTTTGATTTTTTCATACTAGTAATTTAACGTCGATTGATGAATATGGGAATACAGTACCTACTGATCATTCAACTCAATTTTGGACGTTCATCTCATCGCAGGTATTGCCGCATTTGCATTCATCCACATCTACTTAGATGAGTACTTAGATACATTATTCCTGTTTATTTATGCAGTGTTGCGGCTCCTAAGCTTTACGATTACATATTTAAACATTTAGTCACTGTACCTTTGCTCTGCAGTGGAATATTTCACTGGCAAGACCAAGCGCTTCCTTCATCAGAGGATATCCCTGGTCACTAGCTGGGTGCTGGTCACTGGCTGGGCACCGGCCACTAGCCTGGGACTGGTCAGTGGTGGGGTACTGGTCAGTGGTAGGGTACTGGCCAGTGGTAGGGTACTGGTTGAGCTCGTATGTCACGGCCATGCAGCAGAGTACGCACAGGTCTACATTTTCCGAGGCCATTGTATACCTGATCAAATTGTAACAGGATCAAATTCTATTCAGAAATCAATAAATGAAAAGATTATTCACAATCAAATATTACAATTTGTTAACCAAATACGAACGCTAAATCCAAGCTGATTACTATTGGGATCTTCAAATAATCTAACATTTTTTGCAGGAAAAAATAGATGTTATATTGTATCATGCCGAGCACTTTATCGGATTCCGAATAAACTCTAAGTTAAAATGGATAAATTTTACAGGTTTAAGTGATAATTTGTATCTTCTACCATCAGTAAAATCTAACCGTTTGTTGTGGAAGGCATCAGCAGCAATCATTTTGTAAACGACAGCAGCTTTATGCAGCAACAGGAGCCTGAGTTTGGCCGTGAGACTGGACACTCCGTAGCGGACGCTAGAGAGCTCCACCGACAGGCAGCGTGACGACGGAACCATGGCTTTGGTTACGTCGTCTGCAGGAGGTTCTGATCCACTAGTTACAGGCAGGTCACTACTCGTAGGACGTGGTTCTGATCCACCACTACTGCTAGGGTGGTCAGTACTAGTTGGGAGTGGTTCTAACCCACTAGAGACAGGCAGGTCAACACTCATCGGAGGTGGTTCTGGCACACCTAATGCAGGCGACTCGCCATCAGGAAGACCATTTTCAACAAAATTTTCAGAGAGGTTTGAAACTTTAGATGATGTAGAGATATCATCCCCACAACTTTGCGCAGTGCATTGATCATTGACTCTGACTTTGGATATTATATCTCGACTAGCGTGAGATATTGGATGGGTTTTATCTTGTCCAGTCGAATAAGAGGATGTAGATATGAGGGACTCATTTTCAAGTTCGTGTAATGACTGGTATGGCAGCGGGATGGATTCATTACGACGTGCCATTTTCGGTTCCTCTGGTGCCTGTTGGTTCTCAGTTTTGAGGTTCTGTTGAGCGCTGTTATTGTTCTCCTTGAGAACACACAGCAGACCTTGGGCCACGTGCGCGAGGGCGCTGGTGCAACGGGCGCTGAAGTTCTGTGTGAGGCGGGGCGGTCTGGCGAGAACAAAAAAGCAGTTATCAAGATTTTAAAAGCAAAGAAATGAGCTAAAAAATTCACCATTTCGTAGGAATGAAAACGTTTCGGAGACCGGTCTGGCGAACAAAAAGATGTATAACTCGGTACTCACTGCAGTGTGTGACAGAGAGCGCATTTTTGCGTCGACGAAAACGTGAAGTCACGGACGGACGGACGGACGGACGGACATGACGAGCACAACGAAGCATGACAACGAGCATGACAGTACCAGTATCACATCACAGAGTGATGACAGTACCAGTATCACATCACAGAGTGATGACAGTACCGGTATCACATCACAGAGTGATGACAGTACCAGTATCTGGTCTATCAGAACGCCTAAGTCTATCAGAACGCCTAAGGTCTATCAGAACGCCTAAGGTCTATCAGAACGCCTAAGTCTATCAGAACGCCTAAGGACAGCACCAGAATTATGGACCCTGGTGGAGTGGCGTAGCGGAGACTGTTTTCGTTTCTTGTTCTTTTTCCTGTTCTTCTTGCCGCTGTTGTTGTCGTTTCCATTTTCTGTGAGTTCAAAGGGGAAAATAATTAATTCTCAAGGGGACAAATGATTAATTCATTATATTATTCATACTCTGCACCATCGGCATTAAATATAATAACTAAACAGTTTACCAGCGCTCTACGAAAATAAGAACTTTTATACAGCACAAATAGAAAATATATGTTAAATTTATGAGCAGCTGACAGCACACAACTGACCATCACTATGCAGCTGACAGCACAACTGACCATCACTAAGCAGCTGACAGCACAACTGACCATCACTAAGCAGCTGACAGCACAACTGACCATCACTAAGCAGAGACTCGTCCTCGTACTCGTCAGCGCTGCTGTCAGTCTCCCGCTCCTGACGAGCCTTGTAGTCCTCGGCCATGAGCACGTCAGCGATGTAGTAGTGAGCTGACGACACGATCTGTCAGCACCATGATGATGTTACTGATGATAATGGTACTGTTATTATGTTAATAACATTAGTGATGATAATGGTACTGTTACGTATAATGTTAATGATAATGTTACTGATGACAACGATAATGTTATAATGTTTATGATAACCTTAGTGATGATAATGGTCCTGTTATAATCTTAATAACATTAGTGATAATACTGGTACTGTTATAATGTTAATGATGACCTTAGTGATGATAATGTTAGTGATGATAATGGTACTGTTAAAATGTTATTGATAATGTTAATGTTCATATTTTAGTAATGTTAAAAAGGAGTGATACTAATGGTAACAACTGTAACTGGTAGTGGTAGTAACAGACACGGTGGCACCAGTACTCTATCACCAACACACACCATCACCCAGGTACCACTCACTATTCTCACTATATGCACCTACGGTTATGACAATGACACACCTAATTTGAGTTATCAACATACGCAAAATAACACGGCATTACAATCTGTAATACACTCAGGAAAATAGGGTAAGTCAGCAGAGTCCCAGACATTGAATGAATCACGACGATTTATTCAATGAATCACGACGACGTAGTGTATGAGCAGTGAGCACCAAGGCAACAACACGTACACAAATTCACTATCGCACCATCACCAGCAGCCACCTCGTAGTAACAGTATAGTGCTTGCATGAACGCGTGGTACGCGTTCATGCAGTGGTACGTTATGTGTACCACAATGTGTCCGTACCCCATGAAGCGGTACGGACACATTAACCAACACCCCACCACACCACCACTCCACCATCACCACCTCGGGGTAGCGGTGTGCAGGCAGGATCATGACGGCGTTGTGCAGGAGGTCAGTGATGGTGGCCGCCCTGTGCCGCGTCGTGTCCTGCAGGAGGCTCTTAGCCAGCCTGTAGAACAGCATCCCCGCCGGCACCGTGAAGGGGTTCACACTCGACCCTGTCACAGCCAGATGTTAATGGGGCTCTTCGATGTAGGGGTTAAGGGGTTAGGTGGTGTTATGGGGTTAGGTGGCTTTAGGAAAGGGGTTAGGTGGCCTTAGGAAAGGGGTTAGGTGGCCTTAGGAAAGAGGTTAGGTGGCCTTAGGAAAGAGGTTAGGTGGCCTTAGGAAAGAGGTTAGGTGGCCTTAGGAAAGGGGTTAGGTGGCCTTAGGAAAGGGGTTAGGTGGCCTTAGGCAAAGGGTCAAGTGACCTTAAGAAAGGGGTTAGGTAGTAGGTGGCCTTAGGAAAGAGGTTAGGTGGCCTTAGGAAAGGGGTTAGGTGGCCTTAGGAAAAGGGTCAAGTGGCCTTAAGAAAGGGGTTAGGTGGCCTTGGGAAAGGGGTTAGGTGGCCTTAGGAAAGGGGTTAGGTGGCCTTTGGAAAGAGGTTAGGTGGCCTTAGGAAAGGAATTAGGTGGCCTTAGGAAAAAGGTTAGGTGGCCTTAGGAAAGAGGTTAGATGGCCTTAGGAAAGGGGTTAGGTGGCCTTAGGAAAGAGGTTAGGTGGCCTTAGGAAAAGGGTCAAGTGGCCTCAAGATAGGGGTTAGGTGGCTTTAGGAAAGGGGTTAGGTGGCCTTAGGAAAGGGGTTAGGTGGCTTTAGGAAAGGGGTTTCAGGTGGCCTCAGGAAAGGGGTTGAGTAGCCTCGGGAAAGAGGCTAGGTGGCCTTAGGAAAGGGGTTAAATGGCATTGGGAAAGAGGTTAGGTGGTGTTAGGAATGGGGTTAGGTGGTATTGTTTTGCCTTAGTCAGAAAAAGCGTCGGATGTGGGTCCAAAAAGGAATAAGATGTGGTTCATAAAGCGGTTGTGTATGGTTAAAAAATGGATTGGGTGTGGTTCACACAAAGGAAGTTGGGTATTATTACACAATGAATAATGTGTTCAAATATAGACAAGATATTCAGAAGTCATCACTGAGGGTTGGTTTTTCATTGTGGATTCGGTCTGATGTATCACTTGCAAATCAGACATTTTAAAAAGAACCGTCGTAAGGTCACCGTTCTTCTAAGATCATAAGGATAAATCTACTAATTTTATTTGTTGAGCTAGGCATTAACCGTCAAGAAATCCACTAACTTCATTTGTTGAACTAGGCAATATCCGTCAAGAAATCCACTAATTTTACTTATTCAGCTAGGCAATAACCGTGAAGAAATCGCTAATTTTACTTATTCAGCTAGGCAATAACCGTGAAGAAATCACTAATTTTATTTATTGAGCTAGGCATTACCCGTCAAAAAATCCACTAATTTTATTTATTCAGCTAGGCATTAACCGTCAAGAAGAGGGGTGTCAGGCTGGGCATCCGTGGCAGCAGAAGTAGGAGGCTGATGCCCATAGTTGGGGCTCTCATCCCCCAGCTTGAGGTTGGTGAGGTCGTACAACTTCACCACGTCATCGTTCTCCTCTGAAACAACGAAATTTTAAAATTAGACTTGAAATACTAAAATACAATATTCATAATAAATATAACTCAGTACTCGCTGCAGTGAATGACCGGGAGCGCATTTTCTCGTCGACGAAAACGTGAAGTCACGGACGGACGGACGGACAGACATGGCGAGCACAATAGTGCATTTTTACCATAAATGAGAAAATGCGATAAAAATACATATCAGACTTCACTGCAATTACAATATTGTGAAAATAATTCAAGTATCCAACGTTTAATAAAGAAAAATAAGTATAACTAACCGGAATCAAGGGTAAGTCTGATAGAGTACGTTTTTTGGAACTCACTCCAAGGAAAATTATTGGAACTCACTCCAAGACCTCTTAAAAAGCCAGTAGGTGTGCTCCTCCTCCGAGGTCTTAGACCCAACACTCACTCTTAAAAAGCCAGTAGGTTTGCCCCTCCGAGGTCTTAGACCCAACACTCACTCTTGAAAAGCCAGTAGGTGTGTCCCTCCTCCGAAGTGTTAGACCCAACACTCACTCTTAAAAAGCCAGTAGGTATGTCCCTCCTCCGAGGTCTTAGACCCAACACTCACTCTTAAAAAGCCAGTAGGTGTGTCCCTCCTCCGAGGTCTTAGACCCAACACTCACTTCACGTTATTACTACTAGTGGTTCATGTTATTACTACTAGTGGTTCATGTTATTACTACTAGTGGTTCCTGTTATTACTACTAGTGGTTCCTGTTATTACTATTAGTGGTTCCTGTTTTACTACCAGTGGTTCCTGTTATTACTGCTAGTGGTTCCTGTTATTACTATTAGTGGTTCCTGTTACTACTAGTGGTTCCTGTTACTACTAGTGGTTCCTGTTACTACTAGTGGTTCCTGTTACTACTAGTGGTTCCTGTTACTACTAGTGGTTCCTGTTATTACTAGTGATTTCTGTTGTTAATGGTACATGGTGAACATTTAAGAGTCGTTGAAAAAAATCAGATTTATCTGAACCAAGATTTTTTTACAGGTCTCAGTATAGACCAAACTTATCATTATTGCCCAATTGTAACGGTACAGATATTGAGCACCAACAATAATTCTCAGCGGTTGCATCGATAGCGGCGCATTGCCGTATTGTACAAAATGATATATGGAGCCGATCGGGCTGAAACAAATAAAATTTGAAATTTACTTGCACGAATTCCTATAAAGAAATAGTTGCACAAGAATGATTTATTTGAAAATAGACGTACTTTGTATACTTGCAAAAAGTATTCAATTGAAAACAGAAATTACATTCCTGCGGTTTTCGATTAACTGTTTTGCTTCCGCCAGCCAAAACCAAAAATAATTGTTACAACTTACAAGTTAGTAATTCTGTTAGCCAATTAGTGGCGGTTTTTCAATTTAAACCCACCCGTAGTGCAGACAAGTACCATACTACTTGTACAAGTATTTTGCATGAGTACAAGTATTTTGCATGCAAATATGAGATTTTATAAATAAGTGGACGGCCTAACAAGAAATAATGGGGCATTTTGGACCACATTTGCCAAAAATTCAAGAGGTTGTTCGAGCAATGTCATTGGCATGGCATTGGCAAACGTTCATGAGCTTATTAGCGCACTGTCATTGTCATGGCTCAATGTTTGAGGGTATCGGCCAATCAATGTTTGATATGCCGGGATGAATGCACCTGTTAGAACGGTGATTGGCTTGGCCATATCATGCAGACGTAGAGACACACAAGGATGAGTGTCGCCCCCAAATATAGGCAGGTCCGTGCCAATGAGCATGCGCAGGTCCTCAAAGTTCCAGATGATCTTGCGCGCGTGGCCTTCACCGTAGACGTCGTCGGGCGTGCGGTCGCTCGCGTCGGGCTCAGGCATCGCTTCCTCCGCCCCCACAGACACCGTCTAGTGTGCGGATAATAACTAATAAGTCAGAATTTTAATAAAAAATGAGTAGGATTATTAATAAGTAAAAAAATTAATAATCAGTAATGAGTAGGATTATTAATCAGTAACGAGCAGGATTATTAATCAGTAATAAGATTATCAATCAGTAATGAGTAGGATTATTAATAAGTAATAAGATTATCAATCAGTAATGAGTAGGATTATTAATAAGTAATAAGATTATTAATCAGTAATGAGTGGGATTAATAAATAAAAAGATTAATAATCAGTAATGAGTAGGATTATTAATCAGTCAAAAGTAGGATTATTAATCAGTAATAAGTAGAATTATTAATCAGTAATAAATATGATTAATATTATTAGTTCTTAAAGCAATACAGCAAATTATATTGAAAATAAGAAAATGTGCAGTTATGATGTTACTCAAGATATGGAACAAAACTACCATGCAAAAAAAAACTGAAAATATCGGTAGGTCGTGGTAGTAATGCAATTGAAATGCATCTGAGTAACATAAAACAAAAGTGTACATAGAAAACGCACTAATAATACCAGAATTGAAATGCATCTGAGTAACATAAAACAAAAAGGTTAAATAGAGAGCGCACTCATAATAATAAAATCGTCAAGCCTTATTTGGTGTTGGAGTTTTTACAAACAACAAGCGGGGCGAAAGACAGCTGGTCTCTTGGGGTCCAATCCTTTACAAACTTAATAATGTTTCAACACGGTTGGTTAATGGCCAGAGAATTCGTCAATTTAAATTTTTCGGGTTGGATCATTTTTTTTATATGACATTAGTTGATCAAAATGCAGGTTCAAGGGAGTAATATCACTTTATTAACGACGTTTCGAATGTAACAACATTCATTTTCAAGTTACAGGATAAAATGAATGTTGTTACATTCGAAACGTCGTTAATAAAGTGATATTACTCCCTTGAACCTGCATTTTGATCAACTAATGTCATCTGAAGAATATTGTTCGACCCTGAAAATTTAAATTGACGAATTCTCTGGCCATTAACCAACCGTGTTGAAACAAGCTTATTCTGCCTTCTGATACAAACTTAATAATATGCATTTAAAAATTAATTTTTAAAGGCAACACTTCTAAAGAATACAGTTTTATCAATGTTACACATGTGCAACGAATTCCTAATTGCATTACCAAATATTAGAAAGTAAATTTTTAAAAATTTAACATACAATATAAATTAAATTTTAAAAATTATTCATTGTGTAAATTGATTCATGCATTTCTCCAACTTTACGCCAGTGTGCAAAATTTCAGATCGATTGGAGGGGTAGAAGGATAAAATTAATTACGTAATTAAATATCGATTATAAGATTTGTAGTAGCAGACAAAAAGAGAAGTGAAGTTAAAGAGAAGTGTGGTAAAAAGTAGCATGATTATTGTGTACACTCATAGAAATGTACGAGACTAGACATCAAAATAGCGATGCACTATTCGTCCTTGTGTGGATCGTCCTCACCAATATAGGGTTCCATCAAGGACATATCAGAGATAAGTGCAGGAGAGGGGTCACCATTTGGACTATTTGATCCATTTATCATTCTGAGTGCACAGATGATTATGCCAATAAATTTTTACAATTTATTATTATTATATTTTTAGTTTTAATTATTATATTATTATCTTGTGTATTATTAGCTGAAAAATTATTTTGATATAACGTACTTATGGAATTATTTCGGGGTAAGAGTTATTAACAAAACGAAGCAGGCTGCCGTCGGCAGGTACACTACATACACGTATCGCAGATACGAGGGTAAGTCCAGTACCGTACACTACATACGTACACGTATCACAGATACGAGGGTAAGTCCAGTACCGTACACTACGTACGTACACGTATCATAGATACGAGGGTAAGTCCAGTACCGTACACTACGTACGTACACGTATCATAGATACGAGGGTAAGTCCAGTACCGTACACTACGTACGTACACGTATCATAGATACGAGGGTAAGTCCAGTACCGTACACTACATACGTACACGTATCATAGATACGAGGGTAAGTCCAGTACCTCGGTTGAGGGCTGCAGTGCTGGGGTGAGGGTGAGAGGGATCACGGCAGTGGTGGGGGAAGAAGGGGGTGCATCATCTTTATCCTTCTTATCTTCTAGAATCTGATAGTAGATAAATATACAACATGAGTCTATATATGATGTTTTACTCTAGAAATAGAATAGGTAATTTCCAGTGGCTAGGCTGAGCTATTACAGATTAGTTCAATTGATTTTTAGGATGATTTTATTTTGATCAATCAATTGATAAATAATTGAATATTAAAAAGATTTTAGCTAAAAAAATTTGTGTGAGATTGATCAATCTCATTTAATACATACTTCGAGATACGAAAATTTGCTGAATTTATTTAATAATTCGAGTTATTGAGATAGTGAATGGTTCTTACTTGCGCTGCTGAAGGCAGAGGCTGCGGAACAGAGCCTTCCACAGCAGCAGCAGCAGCAGCAGCAGCAGCGGTTGCTTGGTGTCGTTGCTGCAGGGAATGTTAATAGTGAGATATAATGACGAGTTTAGCTTTATGCTGTGTTAATAGTGAGATATAGTGACGAGTTTAGCTTTATGCTGTGTTAATAGTGAGATATAGTGACGAGTTTAGCTTTATGCTGTGTTAATAGTGAGATATAGTGACGAGTTTAGCTTTATGCTGTGTTAATAGTGAGATATAATGACGAATTTAGCTTTACGCTGTGTTAATAGTGAGATATAACAACGAGTTTAGCTTTATGCTGTTTTAATAGTGACATATAACAACGAGTTTAGCTTTACGCTGCATCAATGCAGCAGTAAGAAGCTGATAACAATTGATAACAGAAAGTATTAGCACTCGAGTTGTAAGGAAATCAACATTACGAGAACATAAGTATTAAGTAACAGAGATTTACGATAGAGATATTTATTACATTACGATGGAGATAATATTACAATAGAGATATAATTACGATAGAGATATTATTGCAATAGAAATATTATTACAACAAATAGATAGAGAGATTCATTACAACGGTAAGGTAACTTACATATATGTACCTATGACATAAAATTTTCTAATAAGGTTTGAAGTGTAGCTTATCTGAGCAGCTTGTATGGTGCACTGCAGTTATTAAGATAGAGATATTATTACAATAAAGATATTATTCCAACAAATAGATAAGAGAGATTTATTATAACCATAAGAAAATTTCCATGTATGACATAACATTTTCTAATAAAGTTTGCAGTGTAGATCACCTGAGCAGCTTGTATGGTGCACTGCAGTTATTAAGATAGAGATATTATTACAATAAAGATATTATTCCAATAGATAAGAGAGATTTATTATAACCATAAGAAAATTTCCATGTATGACATAACATTATCAAATAAAGTTTGCAGTGTAGATCACCTGAGCAGCTTGTATGGTGCACTGCAACACGCGCATCAACAGCTGACGGTTGCGCTGCTGGGTCTCCCAGTTCAGCTTTGTCAGCGCACCACATCCCTCCTGAATACAGTGAATTTTACATAAGTAATTCAAATGAATTCTCATTTATTGCAGAATCCATCGAAGTAGCGATTCACATATTTTATTTTGCTTGAAACAGAAGTAAATAAGTAATTCAGATGAATTCTAATTTATTGCAGAATGCATCGAACTAGCGATTCCAGCATATTTTTTATTTTTTGCTTTAAAGAGAAGTAAATAAGTACTAATTCAGAAGAATTCTGATTTATTCCAATGAAACAGAAGGAAATAAGTACGTAATTCAGATGAATTCTAATTTATTGCAGAGTCCATCGAAGTACATAGCGATTCCAGCATATATTTTTTTTCTTGAAATAGAAGTGAACAACTACTACATTCAGATGAATTCTGATTTATTGCAATAAAACAGAAGTAAATAAGTAGTTCAGATGAATTCTGATTTATTGCAATAAAAGAGCAATAAATAAGTAATTCAGATGAATTCTGTTATACTGCAGAGTCCATCAAACTAGGTACCCATTACAGCGTTTTTTACTGTGATTTTAAATTGAAAGATGGCATGGGGATGAGTTGTTAAGTTTCTTTTTAATTCCATACGTATGAATTCCTATGATTACCTGAAAATAGTTGAGTTCTATATGAGAAAAATTTCAATAGGTATTGAGGCTTTGTAAAGATCAAGTCTATTTTACTGATGCTAACTGACTAATTGAAAGACCTAAACTAAACTGGTGTCTAGCAAAGGAGCGAACTTTAATGAAAATAAATGCTGCTTAAGCCACCTCTTGGTGGAATGAATTGTGATTGAATTATTAAGATCGCTTGATTGAATAGATCGCAAATTTACCAGGAATTTAAAAACAAAGAAGATGGCATAAGAATAACATATGGAAAATTTCTGTGCCATCTTCTTTGTCTTTGAAATCATTACACATTAAAGTATATAAAATGCAGTGTTTTATACCCTATTCGTTATTCGCTGGAAGACCATAGCCTGGAATCGCTGGAGCCAGGCCCAGTCAGTTCTCTGCTGCTCCAGCTGAGTTACGGAGAAGGGGTCCAAAAGCAGGGTGTTCTCAATGCGGTGTACGATGAGGCTCACTTCAGCCTGGGGCAGACCAAAAATTGTAAAATTAAATCTTGTATGGCTCAGTGAGGTAACAAACATGACAAAATAGGGATGTGTATTACCAGTACCAGGACCAAAAATTGTACGATTAAATCTTGTATGGCTCAGTGAGGTAACAAACATGACAAAATAGGGATGTGTATTACCTGTACCAGGACCAAAAATTTGTAAGATTAGTAAATCTTGTATGGCTCAGTGAGGTAACAAACATGACAAAAATATGGATGTGTATTACCTGTACCAGGACCAAAAATTGGTAAGATTAGTAAATCTTGTATGGCTCAGTGAGATAACAAACATGACAAAATAGGGATGTGTAATACCAGTTCCGTCACCTACGGTGACTTCGGCCACCATTGGCAGCAACAGAACCAACAGAAACAAATGGCAGCAAAACAAAATAATAAACGTTGGCCAAAGTCACCCCAGTCACTTGAATAAAGTAGGTAATATTGAACATAGGTAATATTGAACATGTATTATGCATAGATGTTAAGAATGCTAAGAATGCGGCGGCGCGGTTGTTTCGAGACCGTGGGAAACATTGAACGAGCGTTGCGAGGGAAATTCCATTCGAAGGAATGTAGCGTCTCTCGAGGGCTAGGCTTAAGTGTGCGCGACACTAGCGTATATAAGGACCTTAGAAATTCGCGCCAAGGGTTGTTGGTTCTAAGGAGTTGACCGTCGCGCACGTACGGTCTGCAGTTAGCGGACGTAACGGCTGCGGCCGTCAGGCCGGCGGTGTTACCGTCTTCGAACATTGACGGTTGACGGTCGCGAGAAAACCAGACTTATCGAAGCAGCCAAGAGTCCGGTGAGCACGTTCAAGATCAAGAATTATCATATACCGGTCATCAATAGTACGGTCACTATATTCATCAGAAGAAGTGGTACGGTCACAGTCACCTCGACGGCAGTACGACAACGGAGTTGGAGTATTTTCATCGGCTATGAAGACGAGTACTACTATTGCATAGTACGGTCATCATCAACTCTACGGTCAGACCGGCCGTGAGGCATCTATATCAACGAGATACGACAGCCATGAAGAAAGAGCAACTGTGAAGAGAGACGCGCGATACAGCTGCAGTACAGCCACTTGAAATACGGCTGCAACGCGCGGTGACAGCCGCTGTATACGGTCGCTGAATACACGGCCGTAAACGGGTGCGCAAGTTACGGTCGTTTACAACTGTCATACGCATTGGAACTGCAACGGATCACACACTTTTTCTGGTAATATTAGATGATTTAATGATGTTAGCTTTGGACTTTTGATTGTGAACAGATTACATTTTTCATGTACTAGAGATTTTTGTTAACGTAGGATGTGAACTTGAATTTCTCAATTTAATATGAAATGTATCAGTGTTTCATTATATACACCCTCTCTTTGTACTATATTTTGCCGAACCTGTCCAAAAAGAGAACCTTATTCACGTGCCAATCAAGTGCCACTCGGCAAACCACCTGACAAAACGATAAGTAATGAATACCGGTATCTTGAACCTGAACCTGAACATAACGTAAAATTGGTGGAGTAATCACTCCGAGTCTCCAACTTTAAAATATATGAGACGATAAGAAACGTCGTCTATTTCTTCTCTTTTTTTAAACACAAATTTAATCACACTTGACCAACGTTTATTATTTTGTTTTGCATCCATTTGTTTCTGTTGTAGTGGCGGCCAAAGTCACACCCGGTGGCCGAATTCACCCCTCAGTTGACAGTATCAGTCTGACACGTATAAGGTCCGCGATATGAGCTGCCTCCCCTGACCACAGCTAGGCGGCGTGGTCAGAGCATTGTAGTCCCTTGTGTCTATGTCACTCTGGTACAAATTTATCTCACGCAGATAGTGATGCTATGTTTAATGGCAGCTTTTATGTGATGAAATTATCACTATAATGGAATGCAGATAGTGATGCTATGTTTAATGGCGGCTTTTATATGATGAAATTATCAATATAATGGAATGCAAATAGTGATGCTATGTTTAATGGCGGCTTTTATATGATGAAATTATCAATATAATGGAATGCAAATAATGATACTATGTTTAATGGCAGATTTCATATGATGAAATTATCAATATAATGGAATGCAGATAGTGACACTGCTTTCTGGCACCAGTTATATGATGAAATTATCAAGATAATGGAATGCAGATAGTGACGCTATGTTTAATGGCAGCAGCTATATGATATTATCAAGATAATGAAATGAAGATAGTGACGCTATGTTTATTGGCAGCAGTTATAGGAGAAAATTATCATGATAATGAAATGCAGATACAAATGACACTGCTTGCTGGCAGCAACTGTATGATAAAATTTTAAGACAATGAAATGCAAATAGTGACACTGCTTACTGGCAGCAGCTATATGAGAAAATTGTTAAGAAAAACAATGGGTATAGTGGTGGAATTCTTAGACACATTTTACTTTCAATAAATTGTAAGAACTCTCACCTGAGGGTCGAATGGCATCTTGAGGAGTTGTTTAATGTTCTCGGCACCTGATATGACGTCCACATCTCTTACACACTCCAAAAACTCATGGGCCATTTGAAAACTGAAAAAATATGCAATTTATAAAGGTCAGATGACTTCATTACTATACCTATAGCTACTGTACAAAAACGTGATCATCATAAATGGAATATCGTACATTCTAATACCAAATTTGGACTTTGGTGATGATCAAAACAAAAAGTATCAAAAATTACTACATGGCAAGATGTTAAAAAAAGGAAATAATTTTATGTTGGTGAAAAGAACCTAGAGAAGTGGGGGCGTTGCACTGGAGGATGAGAGAAAGAGGATGTGGAGGCTGATGGCCGCAGGTCTGTGTTGTTCTGGAGACGCTGGAATGTCACAGGAAACTGCATTTGCTGCACATAAAAAAATAAAGCAATAAATGAATCTAATACATGACTTTTGTTACTAATATACCATAATACATTTGCTGCACAGAAAAAAAAACAAAGCAATAAATGAAACTAATACATGGCTTTTGCTACTAATATACCATAATGCTTTTGCTGCACAAAAAAGAGAACTAGAAATAGAAGAATGAATCCAATGCATGACTTTTTTTAGGTACTGCTATACCGTACTTGACATGTATTTCCCTGTAAAAAATTAAAGCTTATAAGAAGTAATAAGCAGCCAGATATAATATAACCTATTCTTTAAGGATTTTATTAAACTACCTTGGGGAAACTAGAAACATCTATCATTCTTTGGTAGGGTGCGCTGCAGAGGAAAGATTGTACAAAGTGAACCAATAACTGAATCTTTCAGATTGTAATTCTAAGAATAGGCTACTAAATTTACTACATTCACAAACTAGTTAGGTATTTAGGAGGATATACAGATGAATTTTTAGGAGCTTTCCATGTGCTTCAGGAAAATGATGCTGTCATTCATGGCTGTCATGCAGACAGCCATGAACCTCAGGTTTGCTAACACACAATCCTGCATGTCCATGAAGTCTGCACACATAGGATAGTTGAATATTTGGTACCTATACCTATAATTAAAATTAAGTTTATTTTCACTATTTATTTTATTCAAATAACATCTTCATTCTTCTTTTGTCAAAGCCATAATTGATCAGTTGATGTAAAAATATATATAAATAATTTTGAATACCATTTTGAAAAAATATTTAACAGTACCAAGTGTCCAGACTTTACAGACACAATAGATTGAGGACCTCAGCAACTCACATCAGAGCAAGCATCACTAGGATGGAATGCATTCATCAGCCTGGCATGTTGCAGAGCTGTCAGGTGCCGGCCCTGGTAGACAGCGGATGAGGCCTGCAGGTGGTGAGTGGATGCAGACGGGTGCAAGTTGCGATAGGCAGCAGAAGGGTACAGGGCAATGGTTCGAGGAGCACTCAGAACCAGACTCTGACAGGAGCTGAGGACAGTAAATATTGTCAATAAACTAATTAAGGATTATTATTAATTAAAATGTTGTTGAACTTAATTTGAGATGTCAAAACCTTAGACTACGTGGTGCACAGGTGTCAAAGATCCCACTAAACAAATTTGACTATTGACCAGCCTTCAAGTCAGAAGGTCAGAAAAATTGTAGTATATACCTAGAGATTCCTTAATGCACCCAAATCCTTTTCAAATATAGGCATAATGGTACCATGAAACGGAGTAATAAGGGATACTTTTGAGCGTTTTTCCTTAATAATTTCTTACCATGAAACATTTCATAAACAAGCTTGGGCTCATTTTAAAGCTCTTTGCAAGGGCAATAGTATGGCACCTTCAAAAAGATTTTATATGCTATTTGTAAGGTACCAGATTCAAAATAAAAGCATCCCTAATTACCCCTAGGAAGGGCAAATTTGGGACCCTTGAAATATAACTTAATTTTTAAATGTTTGTAGCATGCAAAGTGTCCTCATTCATTACTAACACTACTCTGAAGTCCTCCTCTTCCTTTGTAGATAATGTAGATGTAGAATATATGACATTTTCTGTGATTTTTACTTGTTTTTCTTTTATTGATATGATATTACCATATCCAGTCATTACCATATAATTGATGTGATATTATCGCTTCCATGAACATGCCATTGGGCATTTACAACAACCTTGTCTACTGCAAGCTTAATATGAGCAGCCATATAGCATTTCTTCTGTATCTGTAAGCTTATAGGACAGCTTGTAATTTCACACCATTTTAATTGGGTCAAGTGAATTTACTATAGCAAAAAAAAATCCTAAAAAAAGTAACCTGAAACAGAAATGAATAGTATTTTAGTGAGAACTATCATATTTTTTGGAGAAATAAATCATAGTTTAGGTTAATTACTTTTCATTCTATATGTACAGTAGAAACACAGTGAGCAAGACTCCAGGTAATGAAAATATCAGTTACTGACAAAGAAAATATTTGGATTATATTTACTTTGCTCAGCAAAAAAAAAGTTGCACTTAATAAAAGATTATTGCATTGTAAAAAAGACCATGAAAAACATACCTGAAACAGAAAGGAATATTTTAGTCACAACCATTATATTTTGTTCAGAAATAAATCATAGTTCAGGTTAATTATTTTGCATTCTATGTTGCTCAGTCCACAATTCTATTCATGATATTCTATGCACAATTTTGTGATGATCGGCAATGCATCAATTTTTTGTTAAGTCAGATTTTTTTTGGTGAGGGAGCTAAATTTAATTAAAATTCTATGTCCTTTGATACCACAGCCTTTGCTAACAAAGGTTCAACAATACAGATAACAGATGTTTTTAGGGGTGGTGTTAAAGTTTATGCCACTATTTTCAGTTTTGCAATATTCTAGTTAGTTACTTAGTTTTGTTACTATAACATTTTATGCCATGACTGAGGACTGTCCCTTATTACACCGGTCCCACTCCCGGGTCCCTGGGTAACCCTGCCAATCTGCCATCCCTTATTATTCTGTTCAATGTTAGTTTGGGTTTTTGTGATTTTACTTTTGCATGAAAAACACAGCTACTAGAAGTCTAAATATATTTTATAGGTATGGTTTAATTTCTACAGTAGTAAAAATTACTCAAGGAGTCAAGGTAATAGATATATATTTATGTCATTCATTTCCATTCTACCATAACCATATCATGGGTCCATACCTGTTTTTTCCTTCATTTCCAGATTGGAGTGCATTGTCCACAGCTTTGATATCTACTTTCTTGTCAGAAGCTTCTTCAGCCATTATTCTCAAGAAGTTATAAACTTCAAACTTGTGATCAAATTCTTTGAGGAACAGTATTATTTTGTTTTGTTCAGATTATACAGAAATAACCAGATCTCAACAAAGAGGTGCTGAGAGTAAAAACTGAGAAGCACTGTCAACTGCCAACAACAAGAAGGCAGGCTAAGCAGTAACTAGGCTGAAATAATAACTGAATCAGTCTGATTGACTTCAAAACTTTATAACAAGTCACAAGGTAAACAAACCAATGACTATAGCAGCCACCACTCCCACCAGACAGTTCAAAGCTTCAAACAGTACCAGTAGTACTCTGTAAGTCTGTTACTGTGAGCTCAACATTCTCAAGTTTGAAGTTGCTCAGTTCAATCCGTTGCTCTGTTTCATCGTTGCAAACAGAACAGAGGTCAAATATACTGCCAAAAATGCGTGTCTGCTAATAAAGTCTGGCAAACAACTTAACAAGTGTTAGAAAAAACAAGAACCAAAAATTATTTTCAAAAAGACTTTTCCGTAGTTGTTGGAATTTATGCTTTCCAGTAGGAATGAGGTCAAATTCAGGCAGCTATCCCTGTAGCAGTGTAGCTATTTTTTTTTTTTTTAGTTATTCTTATAGGAGCACTGGAGACTAGTCCATATAGCCCCTTGCCTAAACTGGGTTTAATTGGTACCTAACAGTCTAACACCTCTGAAAGTGAAAATCTGGAACAGAGAGAGAACACACACACACAAAAAAAAGAAAATTCTTGAAATTGAACACTTAGCTAATATACTCGTGGTATAAAGAAAAGTGCAATACAAAATCAAGTTAGTGATTAGTGAATGTATAACTGTAATAGTTTACAATAATATGTTTAAACGCAAAAGAGATCGTTACGTTGATCACGATTCACAGAGCACAATATGAAGATGTTTGCCGTATGAACGCCGCGGACCAGTGTAGCTAAAGCATGCGGCAACAGAGACGGATGTAGCAAAACATGTCCACAGGAAAAGATTAAATCCGCAGCATAGATGCGAATCTGAATAATAATTCAAATATTACTGTTTTTGATGGTTTAAAGACTCGATCTTATTGATGAAAAATTTAATGAGTATTTTACAATGAAAATCACGACGAGGTTAAACTTTAGTAGTAGTAGTAGTAGTAGTAGTTTTAGTAGTAGTAGTAGTATTTTAGTAGTAGTTTTACTCCTAACGTATTGAAACTAAAAATAAATTGCGTATCATAAATGGGTATTGGTCTGCGATCCTTATATATCATTTAAAATTTATTCGATAAATCGGAATCAAAGTACCTACAATTTTTTATTTCTGTTGCTTATCAGGTCTCTTGCCTAGGCCGTTGACACTCATTTGAATTTTGTAGTTGTGGCATGGAGAACTGAACTGCGTTCAGTTACAGGCATATTGTTCGCATCGGTTTTGCAGCAACATGCCATATATATACGTTCTTTCAAAGTTAGTATTTTGTGTATGAATAAGATTACATGGACTCCTATAATGAACATACACAAGCGCTATTCTATACATTTGTCTCTACGTACGACCATGCATGCGCTCTCTCACAAGGCAGGGACTTCTATCAGAGGATGGCGTTAAGAAATCCAGTATTCGAAGGAAAGGTAGGAGAGATCATGACTTAAATCTAAATAGTGTGAAAATAATATTGGTACACATAAGTAGTTTCAATGCAGCACATTAACGTATTTCGATCTTCAGAGTTGAGTCTCTTTCACGTTCTCGCTGTGTACATCCACCGGAACGTTGTAGCGTAAGCTGGTGGAAATAAAGTATAATAATTATTAGTCGTTAATCAATGATACATGCCCGTCTAACGAGTGAGCGAAATTACTCAATTTAAAATCTACTATTCATTCAGCCGTTAATCAATCCGAAATTTACTCTTCATTTCATCACCAGCATCGGTCTTACGCAAATTTATTGTCAATATTTTATATATTATATCATGATTATATATTAATTTTCATAGTCGCCTACTAAGACAATTTAAGATATACGTATTCACCACATTAAATCTTTCACCTTAACCTTCATAGTGAAATTTGTACAATTATAAGTACAGGAAAATGTCACTTGATATTACATCTATATTTTAAAAATATATATTATGTGCAGCGCAAATAGATTATATATATATATATATATATTAGGTCGCTCACTTATTTTGCTCGAACTTGACCGCGTGGGCGCTGTCGTCGCTCTCTTCCTCGTGCAGGGCGCTCAGGGGCCTGCACAAGGTAGTTTATTAGTGCAATTAATTGATACTGAATTGATGTGTTGTGTAACACAATTATACATGGAATAAACTACTTAGATCAAATGTTAAAAATACCTACTAACGTGAAATTAGAGGCGGAGATAACAATATATTCAGCCTCATATAAAATACGGAATTAAATCATGGAGAAGAAATACTAAGCATTTTTTTAATGAATCGCACCATATGAGGAGGCTGGCAGTATACATAACCCCTTCAACATATAGCCCCTTTCACTCACCCACTAGCCAGCCCCCTTCACTCACCTACTAGCATTCTTCACTCACCCACTAGCCCCCTTCACTCACCCACTAGCCCCCTTCACTCACCCACTAGCCCCCTTCACTCTCACTCACCCACTAGCCCCCTTCACTCACCCACTAGCCCCTTCACTCACCCACTAGCCCCCTTCACTCACCCACTAGCGCCCTTCGCCTGGGTTACATCGCTGGGCTGTCGGCGCTTAAGGCTGCTCTTCAGGAAGGGGTTGGGGGAGCTGAAGGGAACTCCCCCGCTGGGGGAGGTCTGTGGGAGCGGGTCTCTCATTCCCCCAGCATTTGCGTTACTTTGGGATCGCGATTCCCACGGATCAGATGGATAGCTGAGGGGATCGTCGGGTTCGAAACCCGGGTTGTCGTAGAAAACTCTTGCTTGGGAGCTCATGATTTCTGGTGGGGGGAGGGGGCATTAGAGGGAGAGAAGAGGAGAGGAGAGGAGAGGAGAGGAGAGGAGAGCGACCTTCTCTTTCCGTCAAAAATACAAATTGCATCGCAAATTTTCAGTAGATAACAAAAGTTTAATCAAGCTCTGCCAATTTACTTTCGATAGCAAGTAGCATTATAATTACAATGATTCAATTACTCAAAGAGAATGAAAATGTTTAAATTTGAAATAATTTTTGATTTACCAAGTCCGAGGCCGAAGTTATCCAAGTCGTCCTCTGCGTCGTATTTCGTGTAGCCTTCCGTGTCGAAGTTCTGCGACAAATGTTCAGAAATTTCTGTATTAATTAACACTAAAATCACTATATGATAATTGTAAATACATTTAAACAGTTAAGTCACCTATTCAACAGGTTTTAATTTAGTAAACTGCATTCAAGTAATGTAAACTCTATTTTCAGGTATGAAAATAATAAATAATCGAAACGCAGTCTGTTCTTCTCGAGGATATTCGCACACAGCCCCTGATATTGCTGGTCTATCTTTTTATATTGCTCGGGATGGGCAGGAGAATTATTCATCGCATGTTATTGCAATCGCTATGGGATTTAATTTATTTTTACGCTAAAATCTAGAGTTGCGACATTCAAGCCATCTGAGGCTGTATTTCCTTCCCATACTACGGTAATCAAGGTTTGCAGGATGCTAGTTGTCTGGCGGTTGAGGGTCTGCTATGATAAGTTCAATATTCAGATTATCCTGAAGTTCAGGATTCAGATTATCCTAACCTGATGCCTTTTTGTTTTTCAAGGATTTTATTGCTGTAATGATTTTATGATAGGGCAATATCAACGTTGTGGCCTTCAGTGGCTTATTGAGTTATTGTACATCTGCCTCTCCGGAAGGTGGTGGATAATTCAGCAAGTCTCTCAAGTGCTCAGTTCACTCCCAGCTCTGAGACTCTGGCTGGTCTCGCTGACTTTCTGGTTTACTGTTTTTTTTTCATTTAACATCTGTCTCGCAAATATCTGTAATGGTTATAATGTTTATAGGAGTCTGTCATGTCCAAAAATGTTCCTTTTGTCAGTGAGTGCCTGTCAGTTTCTATCATACCAGTAGTGTCTGTAGTGCATATAAGTGTTTGAATGTCTGTCATGTCTGTCATGTCTGTCATGTCTGTCATGTCTGTCATGTCTGTCATGTCTGTCATGTCCGTCATGTCTGTCATGTCTGTCATGTCTGTCATGTCTGTCATGTCTGTCATGTCTGTCATGTCTGTCATGTCTGTCATGTCTGTCATGTCTGTCATGTCTGTCATGTCTGTAAGTGTCTGTCATGTCAGTAAATGTCTGTAATGTCTGTAAGTGTCTGTATTATCGATAATTGTTTGTTATATCCGTAAATTTCCTCAATGTCTGTTGTAATCTTCATAACTGTCTGTCATAACCATAAGTTTCTGTATGCTCAGTGAGTGTCTGTTAGGTTAGTAAATGTCTGTAATGTCTGTAAGTAACTGCAATGTCCATAAATGTCTATAATGTCTGTCAGTGTTTCATTTCCGTAAGTATCTGTTATATCGAAAAGTGTGTAAAATTTTTTTAAGTGTCTGTAATGTCTGCAAGAGTCTGTAGGTGTCTATTGTCAGTAAGAGTCTGTAATGTATGCAAGAGTCTGTAGGTGTCTCTTGTATATAAGTGTCAGTAATGTCTGTAAGAGTCTGTAGGTGTCTCTTGTCAGTAAGAGTCTGTAATGTCGCAAGAGTCTGTATATGTCTCTTTTCTGTAAGTGTCTGTAATGTCTGCAAGAGTCTGTAGGTGTCTCATGTCATAAGAGTCTGTAATGTCTGCAAGAGTCTGTAAGTGTATTGTCAGTAAGTGTCTGTAATGTCTGCAAGAGTCTGTAGGTGTCCCATGTCATAAGAGTCTGTAATGTCTACAAGAGTCTGTAGGTGTCCCATGTCAGTAAGTCTGTAATATCGTAGAAGTCTGTAATGCTTACCCAGTTTCAACGCATTCCAGTCTTCAAATAATTCGAATTTTTTGCTTGTAAGCAAGAAATTTGAATTCATGATTTTAAAATGAAATGACGATGAACTGGTTTTTAAACATTCAAATACATAAATATATAATGTATGGGAAAAATATTCGTTTGTATCTCTTTTTAATTCTGCCTATAAAAGAGGCCTAATTTTTTTTAGCAAGTAGTTTATCGTTGGTAAACCTCTTAAGTGAATATATATATCGAATAATAGTAATAAATAAATATATAAAGCAAAAAAAGAGAAAAAAATCCTCTTAGTTGAGTTTATTAATTGAGGCGCTTTCAATTCAACATACAAAGTAATATATTAAGAAATACTCCGAGTATTGACCTCATCCGCATAATCCGCATCTGAAAAATCCTTTAGTTGAATTTAATTTTTGAGACGCTCTTAATTCAACAAACAGAATTTCCTAAATTCTCAAAACATTCACCTCATCCGCACAGTCCGCGTCCGAGTAATTAGCGCTGCTGCTGTATTATTTATACCCATGGTTTTAAAACCATAATATAAGGGGTTTTCATTGCTTTAACACCATATATATAGGAAGCTAGGTGTTTTGAAACAATAAAAGCGCCTCAATTTATTAATTAAGGCGCTTTTAATTCAACAAGCAAAGTAATAAAATCAGAAATTCCCTAAGCATTGACCTCATCCGCATAGTCCTCATCAGAAAAAAAATCCACGTCTGAAAAATCCTAGTATTTGAATTTAATATTTGTATATGAGGCACTTTCAGTTCAATAAAAAAAGTAATAAATTCGGAAATTCTCAAAGCATTCACCTCATCCGCACAGTCCGGGTCCGCGTAATTAGCGCTGCTGCTGAAGGGCAGAGAAGCCTTCATGGCGCCGCCCTTCACGCCGCCGATCACCGACACGTCGCCTGAGGACCTGCGACGACGCTGCTTCTCTTCGATCTCTTCTTCCTGCGCCAACGCATCCTTCATCCTGCCGATATTGCGAGGCATGAAGGTCAAAATTATATTTATATTAATATCTTTATTAAATGAAAAGCAGTTTGTCATATTCTATTCAGACCAATCTCCTTATCCCATTATCACATTCGATCTCGTCGATCTTCCTTCGCCAACGCATCCTTCATCCTGCCAAAATTGTGAGGCATGAAGGTCAAAATTATATTTATAATATCTTTATTAAATGAAAAGCAATTTGTCATATTCTATTCAGACCAATCTCCTTATCCCATTTATTGCAATCTCCTTAGTCCACTTATACCAATCTCCTTATTAAAGTCATAACAATCTCTTTTCTATATATATATACCAAAAGCCGTATTCCCTTTACACCAATCTCCATACTTTCCAATTCAATTTCATGTCCATTATTCAATCTGGATTATTTTTTGTGGAAATATCAGTTGAAACGATATATATTATTCATTCAGTTCCATGTCTTTGTTTCTCGTCTCCAATTCTCCATCCATCGGGAATTTTTGTTAACATGAAATTAATTCACCATATATGGCACCTCTAGTTTTTTGGTAGCTAACTGGACCGAGAATCCAGAGTTTGAAGTAAATATTATTTTGAATTTAGTTTTTCATTATCTTCTTATTTTCAAATGATAATTCCGTAACGGATGCTAAAAATTCGAGGTGGAAAGTTCCTGTACGAAAGAGAATGATTTTGGCTATGAAATCGAAATGATTCGAATGTATTGAAATTAGTAAGTCAGTTAATATAATTAAAACATTCACTGTCGAAAAGAAAATTTTCTTCTATTGTTGGACATAGACAAATTCAGTACGAAGTCATTCTCAAGAGAGATGTATTTAATTTGTATGAATAAAATCGCTTTTTGGATAGAATATCATGCAGTGTGTTTGATTATACACAATGTGCCTGTATTACATATGATATTACATTTATTGCAGATGATATTACCCACTATGTGGTCCTGATAATACTCACTTTTTGGTCCTGATGATACCCACTTTGTGGTCCTGATATTACCCACTTTGCGGTCCTGATAATACCCACTTTGTGGTCCTGATAATACCCACTTTGTGGTCCTGATAATACCCACNGATGATGATGATGATGATGATGATGATGATGATGATGATGATGATGATGATGATGATGATGATGATGATGATGATGATGATGATGATGATGATGATGATGATGATGATGATGATGATGATGATGATGATGATGATGATGATGATGATGATGATGATGATGATGATGATGATGATGATGATGATGATGATGATGATGATGATGATGATGATGATGATGATGATGATGATGATGATGGTGGTAGACTTGCTCGTCACAGTACTGAGGGGAAGATAGTCTCAGTTAATTATGATGATGATGATAATAATAATAATAATGATGATGATGA